AGTTGCATTATACCCTGCAACAAGGACTTCAAGACTAGAGGTGCAGTTGCATTATAGTCCCCTGCAACTAAGGACTTTCAAGACATGCCATCAAAACAAGATAGTGTTTGATATACAAATAGGGATAGTCATTTCATGCTAAATCAAATACTTTCTGTCGAACCAAGCAAAAGAGATTTATCAAACAAGTATAACATAGCTTTATTAAAAATACCACTCACATAGTTCTTCACACGTCCGGGTCGAGACAAGCCCAAGTCCTACAAACACAGGGCAAAGCTATTGAATGCACTTTCAAACAAGTCTCTTATGTATTGCAAATGATCTCGGAAAAGCATGCTGGGCACTAACCAGGTCTAGGCCGAGGTTCCACACCTCCTTGCCGAGGTGTGTTCCCGAGGGCCACATGCAAGGAAAAGGTCGGGAAACTCTGGGTTTCCCTCTGCTGATGAACATGAAGAACATGAGTGTGAAAACATGAAAAATATGAATGTTCAATCACAATCTGTTATCACAAATCTGGGATTTTCATGCTACGAGTTTGAAAACATGGACCTGGGTACCCGTACTTGGAATTCTTGCGGAAATAAACACAAAAAATGATTCTTTATGCAAGCTTTTCGGATCAAAACAAGACTTTTTCTGTAGAACACATGAATGTCATTTTCTCTTTCTAAAACCGAACTTCAAAACAATGCATAGCTTACAAATCATATCCGATCATGCAATGCAATAACATGAACATAAAGAACATCATGAGCAGATCAAGAATCTAACCTTAGAACACGGATCTAACGGTTCGATCTTAGGAATCAAGCTTGAAGATCTACTTTCTCACTCTAAAACTCTTCTTCCTCCTAGAGTTTCTCTCTCTTACAAGGCAAGGTTATGATACCAAATGATAGTTTTCTTTACCCGGTTCTGGGGTTAACCCTCTACTGAGACACGTGGCGGCGACTGGTTGGGTTTTTTCCCTGAAAAAGTGGCTGACAGACCAGACAAAGCATGGTGGAAGGGTGTTCAACAAGTAAGCGGTATGGGCTCTCTGACGAGGCAATGACATCGGCTAATAACAAGGGCATATTTAACAAGCTACACGGAATGGCACTCCGGCAAGGGTGACATCGGCTAACAAAAGGACTTCGGCGACTAAGGTGACAAATGACCCCGGCTAGGAAGTGACACACTTGACTAAGATGTGCGCCCACCATTGGCCTAGATGCGCCACATCACGCGTCTAGGTCATACCACTCCAGGACGGTCTCACTTGGTGATAGTCAATCATCTCGGACCTCAACACTAATCCGTGTTGTCAAGCTGACCCTTATAATCTGTTGATCAATTCATTTGAGGGACAGATGAGGTGCAAACAAAGGTGACTGTGCTTCACACGAGTATGTCGTCACGCACTTGACTGTGACTCGCATCTGCAGTGTGAGAGTGATTATATGTGTAGGCATTTAGGCGTTCCACCATATTGGCTTGCATGAAATTTTGACACATACTCGTTGCTAGAGCAGTTCTAAGCTCAGAGCTCTAAATTTGGACTGATAGACTCCTTCTATAGTATTGGGAGCCTCACAGAATGAGAAAGATTCCACAAGGCAAAGCACTCACTACAACTATAGACACCATACCACTAAGGCTTCTTACAACCTAACGGCGATGTGATACACACGTGCGTGCTTAGAGCCTGAAATTGAAGTTCATACTCAAGAATAGTCACACTGCAAGTATAACAAGAGCTCCATGACAATCACCATACCTTCCAGACTCCCAAAATGAACATGAGCGTGAGAGAAAAATAAAATGGTAGGTCCCTCAACATACGGATTCTCATGCTGACCCTCAATACACATATTATGGACTCTGTACACCATGGCGATGTTCCAGTTACATTCTCTATGTTCCTCTACAAAACATATATTCTTTTATAAAAATTAAGTGTATATAGGTTAATATGTTAAATCAAGCGATAGCCAAAGTGTAAAAGAATGAACCACTATAAGAGTGAAGTCACCTCCACCTGCCATAAGCTGCAGATATCACAAGATGGAATTCCTTTGGTCCTCATAAAAGTTGATAAGCTTCATGCCATTATCATCCTCCATTGAAATTCTTCCATTCCTATCATGCTTACTGGCTACTTCTAAAACCTAGTGATTTGTTCTTAGTATTGATGGCACGATTGCGGCTGGACTTACCCAAAGCCCCACAAGGTCAGGGAACGAAACTCGATAGTCCGAAAGGTCTGCGCTGACAAGCCCAGGCGATCTATCTCTCCACAAGTCTACTCCGTGCCTAGGCTCTGAGTTCGTGTCGTGACAGACAGAGTGTTTATACGTTCACTTAATCCGTAGCAACCCGTAAAATTGGCCTGTCTTTTTGGACTTACGCGCAGTATTCCTACGACCGCGTCGATTCCTATGAAAGTATATCTAAAAATAGAAACGGAGAATCTGAATTCCGCCTAAAGAGTAGTATTCATGATGTCCGTGGGCCGCGTCAACTCCCTACTACGAACCAGGAACACCGGATTGTATAACACCGTCTTCTGGCTCATACAATTCCTCCTCGATGCCTATTTAGAAGCGGTTCGTTGTGTTTGGTGGGCGTCAGGGTTTTCAATGTCTAAATACTGGAAGCTTCGAATATTGGCATATGATTAATAGTGGTATCGTTTGCGAACACCTACAAAAATTCTAAACACGTTTATTCTTAGACACTTGATCATTGCACCTGCCATAAGATAACAATCCGATCACTGATCGGCCCACAACCAGGTAAAATACCCCTGAGAAGAACGGATGGCGGCCTGATGGGCGTGCACACCGAGAACGCGCAGTAGCCTCTACCAGCGCAGCTGGGACAGGGGGGACCAAAGTTGCGGGCGACGTACCGGCCGACGGGGTAGGT